TCCTATAGCATCTGTGCACAGGTTTGACTGTGTGCATGTATTTGCGTTCAGGACGTGGCAGCTCTGTGGAAAAGAAGGGTCAAGGGAAAGGTGGGCAGAATTGACTAGACCAAGAATCAGGTTAGAGAAACAGTGGTTGGTGGAAATCACTGCAAAATTGCTAATTTACATTGGCTACCACTGACCAAGGACTTTTGGGCCATAATGTACCATGTGAAGAATTGTGTTTTAAGCATTCTGCACTTAGTCCCACATGAGAGTGGTTTTCCATGGCCTTTAAGAAAAAGCTGATTTTGTGAGCATTGATCCCTGAGCAGAGACAACCAATTTCTGAATTTTAGACATATTTCTGCCAGCCACTATAGGTGTAACAGCCAAGCAGACAAATCATCTGGAGATCCAGGAAAACAGGAAATAACATGGGTTCATGCAGCTTATGTATTTGTGACAATCTTTTGTCTGAGCCATCAGAAGGAACAAGGAATCCTATGGTTCCTTGAAGATGAAGAAGTTCTATTTGACTAAGCTTCCACAAATTGCAGACCACTTCGCCGGATGCTACTTGCAAAGCAGTTTCCACAGAGGTTCATGTTAAATAAAATTTGACAGCTTCTAAAGTGACTTAAGACAGTTCATTGATTGGTTGCAACAGATTAGCATGGCTACCCCAGCGGCAGTTTCTGCAGCGTCTGGGCTTCCTGCAGAGTGGGTGATATGTAGGCAAATGCCTGTGAGCAAGACACTAGGAAAGGAGTTGGGTGCCCTGGCTCTACTCCCTAATCTCATAAAAGCTATTTGGGGAGGCACAGCATGTAGTACCTTCTTCAGGACCCTCCCATGTTAGTCCTCTAGAAACGACCAGACCTTGCCACCCCTGCAAGGCAGGAAGCTCTAGATCATGGGCACAAAGCAGGTAGGTTTGGAGTCCTTTGGCAAAGCCACAACTTACACCACATTGCACCAAACACATAACCATTAGAAAGGTTACAGAAAAAGGCAACAAGTGCTAGACTACAAATATTCAAACAGCACCATCTAACAGATTTCATAAAAGAAAAAAAAAAGCCCCCCCCATTACCACCCAAATATGCAGATCAGAAAGTGATGCCCTTGACCCACCTGAACTCTTGCTGCAGATTCCTCTTTCTTGAAAGAGCTGCCAACAGCTGATGAGTGCCTGCAGCTCTCATACATAAACTATGTTTTGGCCTTAAGGCCAGCCTATTTTACATAAATATGCATTGTTTATTGTTTGGAAGGGAAACATATGGCAAGGCAAGGTGTGCTGGGGCTACAGTGTGTATTTATGAATATACACACATGGCGGTATATGCAAGAAAATTATACACAATGCATGGTGCATAATGGATGGACGGAATGCATTGACAACTCTAATCTGTACCAGAGAAAGATTATGATCTGTACAGAGGATATGACTGAAAAAGAATCTCCCTCCCTCCCTCCCTCCCTCCCTCTCTCTCTCTCTCTCTCTCTCTCTCTCTCTCTCTCTCTCTCTCTCTCTCTCTCTCTCTCTCTCTCTCTCTCTCTCTCTGTGTGTGTGTGTGTGTGTGTGTGTGAGAGAGAGAGAGAGAGAGAGAGAAGAGAAAATGAGAGAGAGAATGAGAGAGAAGGGTAAAGATGGGATCAAAGGGAAATGGAGGCATATATACAAAATTTCATTTGAGGCATAAATGGGTTCATGCCTGTAAGGGTTTAACACCAGAATATGCAAAGTAGCTAAACTGGTCTCTAAGCATGCACAGAGTACCCCGCTGAAACTCATTTGTGATGTTCTCACAAGCAGAGCCATGGAGAGTTGATGCATGACTGCTGACATCCAAAACCACTTTGAGTAACTGAAGCCTTCCCTCTCACCTCCAGGTATATGGGATGATTAGGGAACAGAGTTTCCAGACCACACAGTGAAGATTTTAGGGACGGCTGAGTCCCAGCATATACACATATCCCAAATTAGGCAGAATGTCATTTATAAGTCCATTCAGAAGAATCTTTAGGAACTTAGCACCCAGCAGATGTCAGGTAAACAGTGGTGGCAGCTAATAATATATCACACAGCTATAGAGTATTCTAAAAGTGGTGAAAGATGTGTCAGAGTGAATGGGATATATTTTCCCCTCCCGCCCTCCCTCCTTTTCTCAGCCTTCAATAACATCAACAGTTCAAATATCACCAGTAAATTGTGCTTCATGATAAGCAAAGAAGCATGTATCAAAATATATGTGAAGACATTTTCACCTAAGATGCTGAAATGGGGTGCCCATGTGCACTGGAAGGCACCCAACACAAAGATACATGAGACTGAGATGTGAGGGCAAACGGGATGTTTGGTTTACACTCCATTAGACACCCCTGCCTATTTAGCACAGCATATTTATGTTGTATGGCAGCTGTTCAATATCTGTATGATGGAGGTGGATGTACAGTACACACATCATTATGTGATGGGCTGCTGGAATTACCTCAGCATTAGAGGTTAATTTCTGAGGATTTTTGTGTGTCTCTCTGTGTGTAAGAAAAAGACCTGTGGCAACAGAAAACAGAACAAACACCCCAGAAACATGGTGGGGGTGAAAATCCTATCTATAATTTTAATAAGTTTTGGAGATGGGTTGAAATTATCACCTGATTGACATTTTTTGCTCCAATTCTTCTGTTTGAAAAACGAAGGAAAGAAAAAGTTTCATGTGCAACTATTCTGTATGAGCATGCATGTATACAAATGCAGGTGTGCAAACCCACAAAGCCTTCTTCAACTTGGTGGCTTCAAAATGTTTACGTCTGTGACTCCCATAACCTCCAGCCAGCAGGACCAATTAGCATATTGTCTGGGGATACTGGGAGTCACAGACCATGATATCCAGAGGGTACCAGGGATGGAGGGTTCAGAAAAATTATTTGGCTGAAATATTTTGGTGCTCAGGGTGAGATGTGCAGTGCTTTACTGGGGGTGCTGACTGTTGTTCTCTGGATATGGTCACTTAAATACTGGTGGGCTTCCCTCGCTCCAGCATCCTTTGCCTCCTTTCTAAGGATTCTGAAGGGGTCGAGGTGGAGCTGAGCAGTTGCTCACCTCGGGAGCAGTGACCCTGTCAGTTACTTATGAGAGAGGATTCACAAGTAATTGAAGCTGAAGTCCAACCAGGCAAGTGAAAGTGGGCAGTGGGGGTTTTCAGGTGGTCGTGCAGGGAAGCTAAAGCAGGAAAGGATGTCTGGGAAAAAAATCCTAGGGTTAGCAGCTAGCGGTAGGGGATGGGGAAAATCTTAAAATTCAGGTTGCTTCCCTCCCTTCAGTGGAACTTCGGCAGCTAATGCCAAAGAAGCTAATGCCCCCGTCCTCACTGAGCACTAGTCTGGAGAAGGAGGAGGAGGCTTCCTGAGAGACAGGGAGAATGACCACTCAAACCAGGATGGCACGGAGACTAAGGAAACACTAGCCAACACAGCATAGGTGAAAAACTCCAGGAAGCTGTTTTGCCTTCCTGACCCTCTTTTGTGAGTCTGACAGGTGTGAAGGTGGGGGAAAGGCAGGCACCCTTTCTCCAAAAATCTGCTGGGTTCTGAAATCAACCACACACCAGAGTCTTCTCTGTGTGTGCCTTATGAATGTGCCAAACTGACATTTCTCTGGGTTTCCCCCTTGCAGAAGATGCAGGTGCTCCCCTGTGCTACGACTGCCCTCTTCCCCTCTCCTGCCTGCGACAGAGCTAGCTTAAAATCAGAGATCAAGGCTTTGGCATGGTTCACCACCCCTCCGTGCCTGGATTGCAAAGACCTGCTAGGCAGGAGCAAACCTAGGGAAGGCGGCTGCCGATGAGACGGGCTCCTGTTTGCTCTCAAGAGCATTTAGCTTCAGTGATCATGACTGGGGTGGGGTGGGGGTGGAGGTGGCGAGGCTGCTTGAAAGAGAAGCGGCAGACGGGGCTTTGCTCCAAACTCCTTGAGGCGGGATCATGGAGGAGGGGAAGGGGGAGGCATAGACAACAGAGATCAGGCAACCTGGGCAGATCATAGGTGCAATGGCTCCCAGGAGTCAATGTGGCATAGCGTGGGTGTGTAGCAGGCGATCTGGGGAGTGTTCTCTGCATGTTTTTCAAATGGGACTCTACTTAGCCATGGGTGGATTAATTATATGTCCAAAAGAACGCAAGGAAGTGGGCGTGTGAAGAGAAAGACTTACCTTGTACAGAGTTAGAAGTGCATCAAACACACATATATTCCCCCCCCCCCCCGAACCGATAGCCAAGTTCCTCGTTTTCTCTAAGTCCGTCCCTCCCGTGTCGTCTGGCTGGCAAATAACACTCAGTTGTCCCCGATTTCCTCTCCGTACCCCGCAGTATCCAACCACCATCCGCACTGCCGAAATATTAACATGCAGAGCAGGAGGCAACCCGATGCCCGCGGCTTCTCCGATCAAGGCAGGGCAGCGGGGACAGCGATTCCCCCCCTCCCCCCTTGCGCTCGGCAGGCAATGCAAACATCAGCACTTTGGACAGCTCCCGCCCGAAAACTCCCAGCCTTGTCCAGGGCGGGATTCCAGCCACGGATCCCAATACAGACGACAACCCCCGGGAAGAAAGACAAAGCGCCTCAGACCGCCCCCCAAGCTATTTTTGTTTTGTTTTTTTAAAAAGGGAAACAAGAAGTCTAGTTACAGGTGAAGATGCTCTGAAAGGCAGAAAAGTGAGGAGATCAAGCAGGACGTTTGTCCCTTTACCGCACCTCTACTCTCCGGAGTCAGGTGCGGGACGATTGACCCACAACGGGCCAACGACAGGTTCCCCCCCCCACGACCATCAATCGTCGCCGCTCTTCCTCCCACGACGCATCCTCCTTCCCTTCGCGCCCCCTTCCACCGCCAGCCTCCCCACGCGTCGCCTCCCGGCTCCCGAAGAGCTCTCCCTTCAGCACCACGCCGCTTGCCTTTTCTCCCTCCGACCGCCCCCTCCCTCGCCGCCCCGGCTCCCGGGGGACAAACTCACCCGGGGCGCTCTCTCCACTCCAGCCCTGGCCGGCAAGCGGAGGTTGGAAAGGTTGGAGGCTGACCTCTCTCTCTAGTCCGACGCCCCAAACCCGCCTCCTCTCTCTACCACCTCTCTCCCCCTCTCTCCCTTCCCTCAGCTCGGCGGTCCCTCTCCAATCGCTCCTCTCAAACCCTAACGCGCCTGCCCGTCTCTTCGCCTCACACTCCCTAACGGAGTGGGCCGGCTCACGCCCGGGATCCTACGGGCGGAACCTTCCCTGCCTTCTCTGGCGGGGAACCAAGGCGCGTGTTTTCCTTTCCACCTCGCCGCCGCCGCCGCCGCCGCCACTGGGTTTTCCGGCAACGTCCCTCCACAGGAGGGTATTTCACCCCCCCTCCCATCCTTGAACGGATCGTGGCTCTTAACCTTCCAAGCAGCGTCCCCTAATGAGCTACTTCATTATTCTTGGCATCTCTACTCATTTGGCTGACTAATATTAATCACGCTCCAGTGCGAGGAGCAAAAACAGCTTCTACCTCGTGCTCAGTGGCCACTCTGCTCAACCCTGGGTAGGGCAGTAAAGCAGGAAGGAGAAGGAAAGGGGTTAGCGGTTATTGGCTCTGCCAAAGAAGGCAGCTACATCCCATTTGTCTGTCCATCCTGGGCTGCGGGGGGAGGGGGCAAAGGGGGGGTGCTTGTCTCCCCTCCCCCCCAATGATACTTTAATGCATACAGGCAGGCTAAACTGTGTTGCAGCACCATACATCATGCACACAAATTAAACTAATGTACCACTGTGCAGCTCTACCCAGATCCGAAGAAAAGTGAGGAGGGGCACTCTTCTGTCTCCTGACCTTTATACTGGGTTAACATGAAAGGGAGTATCAGCGAAGGGATCAAGTGAATGTAAACCTCTAGGATTCCAGTGGCACAGGGAGCCCTGGTTCTGAACAGTGGCTGCGAAAAACAAACAAACAAACAAACAAAAACCCCCAAAGAATTTGTAGTGAGAAAAGGATTCCTGGAAGAAAATACACCCAGCCAGATTGAGGAAGGCTGCTGGCCAACTGAAAGAGCAGAAGCAATTTATTTGACTCACACTGCATTGGGACAGATCAGCAAAAAATTCAGTGAAACCAGATGATCCAGGATTTAGGCATTCTACATTTTAATCTAAGCCAGTGTTGAGGAACCTTTCTCAGCCACGGGGCAGCCTCCTCTAGTAGGTCACTTCCAGCATCTGCACTTCAGCAGCGGATGAGGGAAGAGTGAACACTGAAGCCAAGGGTTCCCCCCCCCACTCCCATATGTCAATAAGTTTCATGGGTGTGGATTCAGAAAGGTGGTACTGCAGCCTGGAGTCAGGGAAGAGATAAGCTTTCTCTCTGTAGTTGCGGTCACTCCTCACCACCATCCCAGGATGATCATGACCCCAAGCAAAAAATAAAAAATTAAAAAAATAATTATTCTCATGGCACAATGTGGATATTGTCAGTAACTAGTCATTGGAGTTCTGCATCTGAATCTGGGATTTTGGATCTAGTCCGATTTCAACAAGGTTTGCAGGATATAGGGATTTGGGCACACCCACTTATGTGGAAACTTTAATTTTCCATCTGTTTGTTTGTTTATTTATTTATTTATTTATTTATTTCATTTATATCCCGCCTATCTAGCCAACTCAGGAGTTTAATTTTCCATCTGTTAAGCAGCAATAGCAATGGCAGAGTTATTAGGAAGAAGTTAGATGTTGCATGTGGAAAATACAATGTAAGTAACTCACACAATTTAAGGTTCTGTTCTTTATTACAGGGATATTTACACCCTAGTGTTGAAAATCTATCAAAAAGTGGGTGGGCATAATTGACTGTATAAAAGTATTCTATAGAAGCCGTTGAATGATGGTCTGTTTGCAATTCTTGTCACTCGTTGGGTTATCATCAGGTAGAAAAAGAATTTCCTTCCCCAGAGTATTCCCCTCTCTGACAGTGTGTCATCTATAATAAACAATACTTTCACACAGCCTTAGGCATCTTAAGGATTACAATTTTCTGTGCTTAAGACTCTGCTATGGATTACTTTTATTCTGAAACATAAAAAAATGTGCATCTTGCTTGTCTTGTCCACACTGTAAAAATATGCTGAGTTTCCCCGAAAATAAGACAGGGTCTTATATTAATTTTTTCTTCAAAAACACATTAGGGCTTACTTTCAGGGGATTTTTTTATGTACAACAATATAAGGTAAAGGTAAAGGTTCCCCTCAGCAATCTAAGGTAAAGGTAAAGGTTCCCCTTGACAATTTTTGTCCAGTCGTGTTTGACTCTAGGGGGCGGTGCTCCTCTCCGTTTCCAAGCCATAGAGCCAGTGTTTGTCCGAAGACAATCTTCCGTGGTCACATGGCGAGTGCGACTTAGACACGGAACACTGTTACCTTCCCACCGAGGTGGTCCCTATTTATCTACTTGCATTTGCATGCTTTCGAACCGCTAGGTTGGCGGGAGCTGGGACAAGCGACAGGCGCTCACTCCGTTGCGTGGATTCGATCTTACGACTGCTTGGTCTTCTGACCCTGCAGCACAGGCTTCTGCGGTTTAGCCCGCAGTGCCACCACGTCCCTTAGTACACATTTATTCAAATACAGTCATGTCATCTTCTTCTGGTTGCTGCACAATGGTGGAGGACGGGGGTTTCACTTAACTGGGCCTTATTTTTGGGGTAGGGCTTATATTACGAGCATCCTGAAAAATCAAACTAGGGCTTATTTTTAGGTTAGGACTTATTTTTGGGGAAACAGGGTAACAAATCTGTTCTTTAGCTGAACAGGGGCATTTCTATTGAAAAAAAGGCCGACCCTATTACTAGGCAGAGTGAGGGGACAGCTGGAGGTGGCTGAGTTTTGGATATCAGGGAAGATCAATAAATGGTTAATTATTTGAATAGCATATTTTACTGCTAAGGATGGGGTATGGTCTTTGGGGGTTTCCCATGTGGCTTTGGGCTCTAGGCTCTCTGAGCTGGGGAGAGGAATAGATTTCTTTTTACTCCAGTTCAGGCAGCACTGTATCTTGGACTATTGGCACTGATGTTAAGCCACCAAATTCTGAATTACAATGAATTTTAAAAGAGACATTGACAGGATTGCTCTCTACACACCAGGAGCCTCAGACAGTGAGGCAATCAGTTTGGCTGAGGCTTTTATCCGGAGTGTACTTAGCTTACCATAAATATTAACCTGTGTCCATGTACAAGGGGAGATTTGAAACAATACTCTCCTGAGGCTGTTGAGCAGGCACAGAAAAAGGCTTAACTTGCCAGAGGTGTCAGGACAGTAGATAACCTGAAATATCTCTTGTGCCATGAGCTGGCTGGATAGCTCTGTGGGTTGGGTGCCTGGCTGTTGAGACAGAGCTTGGGAGACTGATTCCCCACTGAGCTTGCTTCCTAGAGGAAGGAAACGGTAAACCACTTCTGGCTATTCTATACCTAGAAAACACTGGAAAGGGTAGACATTCATTGGGATCAACTTGATGGTGCAATAATTAGCTTATCTGGTATCTACATGGCTTATTGCCAAATTATACAGAAGACAAAGCCAGGAGTGCTCCTCTCTGAATAAGGCCAGGTTGCAGTTCTTTAATCAGCAGGCCATGGTACAAGTCATAAGCTATGGCCTCACAGTCTCTCACCATGGTTTTCTACTGTCATTCTTTCCTTATACTAAAGGCTGCCACACAGGCAGCTTTCCACTTCAATGAAGAAGCAGCCATATTGTAGTTCTCAGTGTTATGAAAGGCAACAACATCTTAGGAAATAAGAGGCTCAACCTGTATAGGATGTTGTTACACTTCCCCTGAAAAGTCAGGTCTGCAGCTTGAGCCTGATCCTGCGTTCAGTCCTGAGCCTTGATGTGCAGGTTTCAGCAGTGAGATGGCCAAAGTATTGGAGCGTCAACTTCAGGATCTGTCCTTCCAGTGATCACTCAGGGTGGATTTCCTTTAGAATTGATAGGTTTGTTCTCCTTGCAGTCCAGGGGACTCTCAAGAGCCTCCTCCAGCACTACAATTCAAAAGCATCAATTCTTCGGTGGTCAACCATCTTTGTGGTCCAGCTCTCACCTCCATACAGAACTACTGGAAAAACCATAGCTTTGACCATGCGGACCTTTGTCGGCAAGGTGATGTTTCTGCTTTTTAAGATGCTGTTGAGGTTTGTCATCGCTTTCCTCCCAAGAAGAAGGTGTTTTTAAATTTCGTGGCTGCTGTCACCATCTGCAGTGATCATGAAGCCCAAGAAAGTAAAATCTGTCACTGCCTCCATATCTTCCCCTTCTATTTGCCAGGAGGTGATGGGACCAGTGGCCATGATCTTAGTTTTTTTGATGTTGAGTTTCAGACCATTTTTGCACTCTTCTCTTTCACCCTCATTAAGAGGTTCTTTAATTCCTCCTCACTTTTGGCCATCAGAGTGGTATCATCTGCATATCGGAGGTTAATGATATTTCTGCTGGCAGTCTTAATTCTGGTTTGGGATTCCTCCAGTCCAGCCTTTCGCATGATGTATTCTGCATATAAGTTAAATTATTAACCAGCCTTTTCATCTTTTGGGCTGCTTTTCTTCCTTGCCTCCACAGTCCCCCCTTCTAAATTTATATACTAACTGAATGTGCAGGGAATACACAACAGTACATCTTCTAATATACTTTAAGGCCATCATCCTCTGAAAAAACATATTGCAGAATCACTTGGATGAAATATGACTGCTCCATACTTCCTGGTGCTTTATGCTGGATATTCCCAAGTTTTAATTTTTATTTACTAGCAGAACTAACTACAGTACTTGCTGGAAGGCCCATATTTCTGATGCTTTTAATGATCCATGGCGCTGCCTTTGACACTGAGAGCTAATGAGTAAAGCTAATGACAATGTTTGGTATGGGCATCTTAAAAAATCCGACGTGAAAGGAATTAAAATATCAGAGAAGGCAAATCTATTGACAAATGGGGAATAGTGTTTAAACATTGACCTGTTATGTTCCTATTAGATTTGCATTTCTGTGAAACCAACAACAAACTAACAACCAAAAAGGTGCCAGGGATAGAAAGCATTCATAAAGGAAGACAAGGTGAAACACAGACCTTATCCACTGTGTGCATCACATGTGCAAAGTAACAGGCATCTTGCATGATGTTTGCATGTGGGTGTGCCCCTTTAGCCTGTGGGCGTATAGGGGAACATGGTTGTACACTGGGACCTGCACACATCTATAAATAGCTGATTACAGAGAGAGCTTAAGAG